AGAGCCCTGGATCAGCAGAGGGATGGGGAATGGGGATGGGGCAGAGCCCTGGATCAGCAGCAGGGATGGAGCAGAGCCCTGGATCAGCAGAGGGAGGCAGGGATGAGGTGTGTGCTCACCTTCCTGCTGTAGATGCAGGCAGAGCCCTGGATCAGCAGCAGGGAGGCAGGGATGGGGCAGGGATGAGGTGTGTGCTCACCTTCCTGCTGTAGATGCAGGCAGAGCCCTGGATCAGCAGCGCTGCCTCCATGAAGTTCATGGTGGTTTTGCCATTGTCGAAGGAAATGCAGATCTGGTCCAGCTGGGAGAGGCAGGGTTGGGTTTTACTTTTAGAAATGGGGTGGCAGAGAGGTGTTTTAAAAGGTTTTATTCTGTTATCAGCCTCGATGCAGGGTGAGACATGTAAAACTAAACGTTGTTCTATTAGAAGCTAACTTATTTCATGGTTACAATCCTTTATAAATGTTGTTTCAGCTTATTTCTGCCACACAACGCTGCTGTTACTTCTAACATGAATCACTCATATTTTTAATCCGATAGCCTTGCTACAAAGCATCTTCCACAGCTTTAATTCCCTAAAATTAATTTTTTGATTGAACTAAAATTTTAATTCTCTGAAATTCTTTCGGAAGGCCACATTTTGACATTTGTTTCCAGTCCAATTTCTCTCTCAAGAACGTAATTTCTGTTTTATGGCTTGAAGTCAGCAGGCCTTACCTCAGTGTTTGCATGCAGACCTACAAGGGCTTTCTGCCAGGTTTTGGGAATTCTTGGTAAATCTACTCCTCGCAGGCAGGGAGGAGAGGCTGAGCCTGGGAAAGGTGTCACTGTCCCCAAGGCCACCACCACGGCTGGATGGCCCCAGGATTCACCCGGGAAAACGGGGACATGCAGGGGAGGAAAGGAGAGGGGAAAAGAGGAAAAAGGAGGGGGAAAGGAGAGATTGAAGGAGGGAGAAAAGGAAGAAAAGGAGGGATAAAAGGAGGAGGAAATGGAGGAAGAAAATGAAGAAGAGGAGAGAAAAATGGAGGGGGAAGAGAGGAAGAAAAGGAGGGGGAAAGGAGAGGAAGAAAAGGAGGGGTAAAAAGAGAGATAAAAGGAGGAGGAAACAGAGGAAAAAAAGGGGGAAAAAGGAGAGGGAGAATAAGAAAAAAAGGAGAGGGAGAAAAGGAAGAAAAGGAGGGGTAAAAAGAGAGATAAAAGGAGGAGGAAACAGAGGAAGAAAAGGGGGAAAAAGGAGAGGGAGAATAAGAAAAAAAGGAGCGGGAGAAAAGGAAGAAAAGGAGGGATCTAGGAGGAAAAAGGAGAGAGAAAGGGAGGGAGAAAAGGAGGGACAAAAAGAGGGATAAAAGGAGGAAGAAACAGAGAAGAAAAGGATGGATAAAAAGAGGGATAAAAGGAGGAGAAAACAGAGAAAAGGAGGAAAAAGGAGAGGGAGAAAAGGAAGGAGGCATAAAAGGAGAAAAAAGGAGAGAGAAAAGGAGGGGGAAAGGGAAGGAGAAAAGGAAGAAAAGGAGGGATAAAAGGAGGAGGAATCAGAGAAAGAAAAGGAAGAAGAGGAGGAAAAAGGAGGGGGAAGAGAGGAAGAAAAGGATAGATAAAAGGAGGAAAAAGGAGAGAAAAGGAGGAGGAAAAGGAAGGAGAAAATGAAGAAAAGGAGGGATAAAAAGAGGAAGAAATAGAAGGGGAAAGAGGAATAAAAGAAATAAAAAAAGGAAAAAAGAGAGAAAAGGAGGGATAAAAGGAGGGGGAAAGAGAGGAAGAAAAGGAAGAAAAAGGAAAAAAAATGAGAGAGAAAAAGAGGGATAAAGGGAAGAAAAGGAGGAATAAAAAGAGGGAGAAAATAAGGGGGAGAGGGAGAAAAGGAAGAAAAGGAGGGAAAAGGAGGAATAAAAAGAGGGAGAAACGGAGGTATAAAAGGAGAGGGAAAAGGAGGGATAAAAGGAGGGGGAAAGAGAGGAAGAAAAAGGAAAGAAAATGAGGGGGAAAAAGAGGGATAAAAGGAAGAAAAGGAGGAATAAAAAGAGGGAGAAAAGAAGAGGAAGAGAGACAAAAGGAAGAAAAGGAGTAAAAAGGAGAGGGAAAAGGAGGAATAAAAAGAGGGAGAAACGGAGGGATAAAAGGAGAGGGAAAAGGAGGGAGAAAAGGAGGGAGAAAAGGAGAGGGCAAAGGAGGGCAGGGGACACGAGGAGCTCTGGGGGTGTCCCCGTTACCTCCTCCAGGTACTCCCCGAGCTGGGCAGCCACATCCACCTCCCAGTTCTTGGTGAGGTCCCGGATGGGCTGCAGCAGGTGCAGGAAGCGGGAATCCACCTCTTCCATGGTGGGATCCCCCTGCAGAGAGCCCAGAGGTGGCTGGGAGCTGCTCCCTGGAATGAGTGTCCTGGGGAAGCTCTGCAGGAATCACGGCTCGGCTGCGTGGGAACGGGGAGACAGCTCAGGCTACAGGGAATTGTTTGGGCTGGAAAAGCCCCACCCCAATCCCACTGCCAAGCCTGGGCCTGACTTTGATCCTGATTGTGACCCTAATCCCAGCCCTGACCCTGATTCTCACCCTGACCGTGATCCCAATCCTGACCTGATCCTGAGCCTAACTCCAGTCTCTACCCTGAGCCCGACCTGAAACTCAATCCCAATCTGGAGCCCAATCCCAACCCCGATCCCGGTCCCCACCCTGATCCTTACCCCAATCCCATCCCCATGCAGACCCCGACCCCAATTCCCATCCCTAACTCTGCCCCGGTCCATGATCCCAACCTCAACCCCGATCCCAACCCAAACTTCATTTCCAATCTTGATCCCAACCCCAATCCCCATGCAGACCCCAACCCCAATTCCCATCCCTAACTCTGCCCCGGTCCTGATCCCAACGTCAACCCCGATCCCAGCCCCAACTTCAGTTCCAATTTCAATCCTGATCCCGATCCCCATGCAGACCCCGACCCCAATTCCCATCCCTAACTCTGCCCCAGTCCATGATCCCAACGTCAACCCCAATCCCAGCCCCAACTTCAGTTCCAATCTCAATCCTGATCCCGATCCCCATGCAGACCCTGACCCCAATTCCCATCTCGATCCCTACCCCAATTGCACTCTTGACATCAATCCCGACCGTGACCCTGATCTCAGTCCCTAGCAAAACCTCAATCCTGACTGTGATCCTGATCCTGATCCCCATCCAAACCTCAATTCCAACCATGATCCCGATCCAGGTCCCCATCCAAACCTCAATCCCGACCACGACCCTGATCCCGATCCCTATCCAAACCTCAATCCTGACTGATCCCAATCCCAGTGCCCATCCAAACCTCAATCCCAACCATGATCCTGATCCCACTACCGGTCCCCATCCAAACTTTGATCCCAACCACCACCCTGATCCCAATCCCTATCCAAACCTCAATCCTGACTGGATCCCGATCCTGGTCCCAGGTCCCCATCCAAACCTTGATCCCAATGTGATCCTGATCCCAATCCCAGTGCCCATCCAAACCTCAATCCCGACCATGATCCCGATCCCAAACCCAGTCCCCATCCAAAGATCAAACCCGACTGTGACCCTGATCCCCATCCAAACCTCAATTCCAATCATGACCCTGATTCCGGACCCCATCCAAACCCCGATCCCGATCCCCATCCAAACCCCAACCCCGATCCCGGTCCCCATCCAAACCCCAACCCCGATCCCGGTCCCAGTCCCCATCCAGATCCCAGTCCCGGTGCCCATCCCCATCCCCGATCCCCGTCTCCATCCCATCCCCGGTCCCGGTGCCCATCCAAACCCCGTCTCCATCCCATCCCCGGTCCC